TTTTTTTTGTTTGTTTGTTTGTTTTTGTTTTTTTTTTCTCTTAGTATCACATGATGTATAGATATGTATAAGTTTTCTATTCTTAATTGTTTTATCTTTTCGTTTTGGAGGGCAGTTTTTATATGGGAATTCAGTTTCCCCCTACTGCTTTCCTTTACCTATTGTACTTTTATATATGTATATATATTTTTATTTTGTACATTGGTAAAAAGAATTATTAAACTTAAACTTAAACTAAACTTAAACTTACTTTCCAAAAGTCAGAACTAACCAGCCAGGCTGGTTATTTTGAAAGTTACATATAGTCTCTTCTTGAAATTCTTTTACAAAATTGAAGGATCTATTCCATGTTTTGACAGGTTTATGGTTCCCTGCCTTATTTTGCTAATGTACGGCAACTTGCTGAGATTTCCACGGTGTTTGTTAATCAGAGGTTAGTGCTGTATAGTACATAGACTAAAACAAGTACCAGGGGTCAAATTGATTAAACTTTTACAAGTGTAATTTACAAGTGTAGCTATTGTGTTCAGACCCTGGAACAAAGGTTATACTTGTAACAGCTTTATTAAATTGATCCCTGTTTATTAGAACTCAACATAACAACAGAATAACATGAATACAACCAATTCCATTGACTATGAAAGCTGCCATGCTTGCCACAATATCCTTTCTTTCCAGTATAAACTGAGACTTTCTCATAGTTATTATTAATAATCGGGGGCAGATCTGGAAAATCTAGTGAGAAGGGGTCTATAGGGCACAGATAGTGCCCCCTCCAAGTAGCCTGCAAGAGCAAATGCCTTAATTTCCAGCTTTTGTTTCCAATGCCCAAATATGAAACAAAAGCTGTAAAGGGATGTGATCTCAAAAGCTAAAGGTCATGGAGAAACTATTTTGTTCTTACAAAATTCTGGGTCTGAGAATATTATTTGTGCCCACAAATTAAGGCTCTGAAAGTCTGAGAGAAAATTCTAAAAAGAAAACAAAAATGCCAGACAAAAAAATTAAAAAATAAATTAATGAAAATAATAATTAATAATTAATTAATAAAAACTAATAAAAAATATTTTATAAATTAATCATTTTTTGACAAAAGTGGGATATGGCCCTCACCCACTCCTCCCCTTCTAAATCTGCATATGATACAGACAACCTTTGCCTTGTCGACATGCTGCTAGACATCCCAATATGGACAGTAGCTAAAACCCAGCAAAACTGAATTTTACTCCTGTTATTACAGAGTCTGACTAATGAGGTCACTAACTCATGGTCCTGATTGTCCACAATAAAGGCGGTTGACTGTTAAATACATTTAAACTGCCACTAACGGCCACCTCTCTACAATGGCCACTTTTTCTGGGGACAATCCATACATTGACTCTTGATGAAACCTCTCTAGAACGGCCACTTTCCTCTGTCCCCAAGGTGGCCGATGTCCTGAGGTCCAACTGTATTATGTAAAGAAATTTAATTACCATGCCTTATTATTTTCTTCTAGGTGGTTCTTTGATGCTATTGGTTATTCCAGATTATCTCGTGGCTTTGTTGTTAATGGGTATATCATGGGTGCATCATTTTTCCTGTGTCGTATAGCAATCATGCCACTATACTACTACAAGTGTTATTCAGTCTGGGGATCTTGGGAACAGAAAGACTTGGGAGCACTTATTAGTTTCTACTGGATTTCTACCTGCATTGTACTGGATTCAATCAACTTGTACTGGTTTACAAAAATTGCGAGGGGAGCAATGAAGCTAACTCGTAAACTGAAAGAACGCAAAGAAGGCTAATTTTATTTCATCAGTCTTTGACAAGTGTTTTAACTAAATTTTTAAAGAACCTGAGGTTTTTACTAATCAATACTTTTTAAATATTAATTTAATTGGATAACTATCAATAATTTTTGTATAAGCATAATTTGTCCAGATGTTATAAATAAGCATTGACTGATTATTTAAAATAGTATTGAGATAGTTTTAATATATGATACAAAAAAAGTTGCACAGACCTATATAGACCAATTAGTGCCTGAGAAATTGTTTAGATATTGTAAAAAAAGAAATGGTCAAGTACAGAAGTTTAACTAACATTGTTTTTAAAATATTTGGTACGTTTTTAGTTGATGTCGCTCAAAAATAATTAAAAAATACTTTAAGAATTTATTAAATAATTATTTTTAAATAAACTTAACAACGTATTTAAAAAATTTACTCTAAATAAAATTTAATTTTTCGTCACAAAATTTAGCCTTTCACCTTCGCACCGGCTCTTCTTAAAAATGAGTTTTTTGCGCGCGCGACAAACTTTCAGGAAAGCCGTTTTTAGGACGGTTTTGCTACTCGCGTGCCGAAAAGTTTTCAGTCAATGATCGAACCTCGCACTAGCCTGAGTATCACCCTTAGGAAGGCCTGATACTCAGGCTAACTTCGCACTCGCTTAGCTGCACGTTCTAATATTATTCGTCTGTGGACAAAGTTTGTATAATATTTTATTTAATTTCATTGAAAAACTTCTGTAAAAAGATTTATGGTAATTCCTGAAAGTAAAAGTGAGACCTTTTTGCCATTTTAATGTCAGTAGTTGTTGTCAATTTGTTTGTTTAATAAGTTATTTGGTTGATTCAGAGATATCGAGCTACCACTTTCTCGATTTAGGACTAAGAAAAGTCAATGTTTCATGGAATAATGGAAAATACTGTATAATACTTATATATTACTTATATATTACTCTATCAAGTCAATTAGAGCCATACCGATGCGCGCGCTAGGAACCTGGGAAGTTAATTACCTCATTAAGCTTTATGATTTCAGCAGCGTTTATCGATATCTTTCGAGATGGAGGTTGATTTATTCGGAAAGGAAAATACTGCCATGGATTTCAATGATACGTAAAGAGAAACTGTTACTTCAAAGTTAAGACATGTCAAACAAAGTTCACCCCGCTACTGAAGCGGCGCGTAAAAGCTCTAATGTGAGCGAGGAACGCGAAAAGTGGACTGCAAAAGCCGACTTCATCATGTCCTGCATTGGTTATGCCGTTGGACTTGGAAATATCTGGAGATTTCCTTATCTTTGTTACAAGAACGGAGGAGGTAATTCTGTTATCTTTCTAATATACTCGTTTACGGATAGTTTTAAAAATTACCCCCTGATTGAAACACAAGGTGTCATAAAAGAACTTGTTGGAGTTTTGTGGTTTTCGGATGAAAAACCTACCTAAATGTGACCTTTCAAATGAAAGCTATTGAGCAGTTAGGGGCACCCAACGAGAATATATAGCATTATTTAACGTAGTTTAGTATTTAAACGGTAGATATAGGCATATTTTTATCCCCTAAAAATTTTTCATCTGTTCCGATTTCCTAGTAGCTGAAAGTCTAGTGATCCGAAAATTATAGGGATCAAAACTTGTCGAAAATTTCAGCCATAAAAAAGGCTCCCAAAAATCCTAGGTGACCTTTTTAGGGTAAAAATCCGTTAAAAATGGGCAATTATACCATTTTTTAGATGTTCGAAAATCCTAGGAGAAGTACGCAAGCAAGAAATTTTAGAAAAAATGTTCCGAAAATTCTAGACTGTTCTCAAATCGTCTTCCGAACAGATATTTTCCGAAAATTGACGTTGGGTGCCCCTGAGCAGTACTTTCCTGTGGTACTGTTTATTATGCTGTACAAGGTGGTTCTAACTTAACTTTTTTAGACCGTGAATGGAATCTGAAAGTGTCATCATTCAAATAAATGGTACTGAGCAGTACGCTGTATCCTGTGTTGCTGTTAATTTATTATGCTGTAGATGTGCTTCCACTTGGTACTCTTTGTTTTTAAGTATATTACAACACTGAATTTTTCAGACGTTTCCAGTTAGAATAAATTAAAACAGGTCCGCTTCATTCATATTGGCCATTAGCTTATATATGTTAATTTTCTTATTTTAACAGCTTCTTTCCTCATCCCGTATTTCCTAACGTTAATAACCTGTGGTATTCCACTCTTCTACCTTGAACTGGCCCTCGGACAGTATCTAAGCCTTGGAGCCATCAAAGCTTGGGCGGTAGTTTGTCCTGTACTAAAGGGTACGTAATAACTTTAGTTAACTCCGTCATGTGTTGTTAATTCAAACTCAGCGAGGTGTGATATGTTCTTAGCTGCCTCTGTTAAAATTATGCAAAATAGAAGAATAAAATCATTTTAAAACAGCTTTTGACGCTGGTGCTGCAACACACTAACCCTGGAATGCGATAACAAATATTTTATTTTTTTATAACAAATACTTTATTTTTCTATAGTTCGCTTGTTTCATGTTATTTTCGATCTTTTTTGACTTTTTACGTTCCAGGGCACAATTTATTAACTAAAGTCTCTTTTTAAAAACTCTCCCGTTTGACAGGTCTTGGTGTGGCTATGGTTATAACTTCATTTTTGATATCAGTATATTACAATGTGGTGATTGCGTGGAGCCTATTGTATCTTTACCACTCGTTTTCACCGGAAGTTGCTTGGAAATCGTGCGGCAACGAATGGAACACAGCATTTTGCAGGTAAAATAATTAGCCTAGACACAAAACAAGAGAGCACTCGCGTTACACCAATATGGCCTGGGTTCGTGTACGACGCAACATATGGGTTAGTCTTATCTCAATTTAATGTTCGTTCTCTTCTCTGCTTCAAAATGTTTTCCTCCGGGTACTACGGTTTTCCCCTCTCCTTCAAAACCAACATGCCCAAATTCCAATTCGCTGGAAAATTTTTTCAGTTAGTTGGGAACACAGGTTCATCAGTCAGTCTTGCAACTGTTTAAAAGTGTCACAATCTCAAAACAGTTAGACAAGTTTAATTCTAATAATATATTTTTTTAACAACACCGTAGCTACGATGCAAGACGAGGTACTCGCTAATTGCAAATCCACGCTGCTTCAAGTTACATTTTTACCATAATCGAATGCTTTGGTAATCAACAAAACACTAGCTGTGGCGATTCTATCGTTTTTCATTTTTTTCTTTTCTTTTTAGTGAAGAAGGCTGGGGCAATTTCACCTACAATTGCACGGCTATGGGAAGACCGCTGAACTGCACCATGCAACTCACCTCTCCAAGTGAGGAATTCTGGGAGTAAGTGAAACGTTTTTCTATGTGTTCAACCGTGTTAAATCAGAGCCTTGGGTGTGGGAGAGAGAACTTTGCCGTAAGCGTCAACTTAGAGCTATTAGAGCGGTTTTCCATGAAAAAACTGATGCTGAAGGTCTCTAAAAACATTCATTTATTCATTCATTTTCATTCCAAAACAGCATATCAAAAACGTTTACCACAAATGAGGGATCAATTGACGTTGGGTAAATTGATGAAGGGTGGATTTTAAGTATGTTGTCTGTACTATAATTCTTCAAATTGTGCAACGGGAATAATCGAGTGAATAGCGAAGTTAATTTTATTTGAACCTCTCAAAGTCAGCTCACTCATGTAACGTCACGCCTTTGTTTTTGAATTATATTTGAACATTACTTTGTGCATGCAATTTTCAGTTGCCTTTGAACCACTGAATAAGAAGGAGCACCCTTGAAGCGTCTGGTTTTCCTTCTTTTTACACGCATATTTTGAAAAACTTTGCCATTCGCTTAATAGTAATGTAGATGACTGCCATAGCAGATACGAATCTTTTTGCGCATGGCTGGAACAAGCCGTCCTCTGGATCCCGCCTCTCCAGACGCCGGGACGGCGCGTTCGCTGCGAGTCATTTGCACATTTACGTTTCGGTTTTTTTCTTTTTCAGACGATATATTCTCGCAATTTCAAATGGAATTGATGAGCCGGGTGAAATCCGTTTGCCACTGGCCACGACTTTGCTGATCGCCTGGGCTGTTGTGTATTTTTGCTTGTACAAAGGAATTAAGTCATCTGGCAAAGTAAGTAGAAACCAGTCCCACCTTGCACATATACTAATGCAGTGTAAACTGTAGTACTTCAACCGCAACGGTTTCTTCTGGAATCGTATAAGCTGTAACTTAAAAGGGATGGCAATTTCATCTTAAAGAAAGTTCAATTCCAGCTGATTAAAAAGTTGCGTGCATATTATTAAAAAAGCTTCAAAACAAGTTACACCTACCAGGGAGTGTGTGTCGTTTGACTTGAATTTGGTTATCTTCCTTTTATAAGGAAGGAAAATCAGATTCAAATCAAACGACACATAATGTATTTCCTCGATTAAGCGCCCACGCTCTAATACGCGCGCCCTCCCCCGAATAAGCGCCTACTCCCTAGGTCGAATATCAAACAAGTACCCCTCTTAAGTAAGCGCTCCCTCCCCATAACACTTTCTTAATGGTAGGAAAACAAGCAAAACCTTTTTATATAGCGACTTTATCAATATCTTTTTAAGCTTTAATTTAAATATTTATACCAATACACTGCTGTGGTAGAAAGTGTACCATGGGAATACGGTACGCTGGACTGTAACAACAGGAGGAAAATTACTCAATAAGTGCCCCCTTGATTAAGCGCCCTCCTTCCTCCTTTTAGCCAAAAATTGCCCTTGCAAAGTCAATTAGAAATAAAACCTTTTAATTCCATTTTTAAGCTTATCAGCTCTTATCTATTCACGCACATTCAAAGCCATTTCAGTAATCTTGGTTCTTTTATAATCACATTTGCAGTTGTACAGTGTAGTTATTAGAGTGATTTTACTTTCCCCATGAAATAGGTAGTAGAACAGTACGCACTATTATGCACTAATTCTATTGTCTTCTTTTGTTTATTTATAGCTATTTTGCACTAGTTATTACTAACTGTTTCACGGGTCAAGTAAAATCGCTCTATGATAAACTGAATCTAGTCTTGTTTGTTTTAAAAGAAATAAATGTCGTAACAGCACTCAAGTTAGCCGCTGGTAGGGTTATAACTGACAAGGCTGTTTCCGAGTTAGAAAGCTTACACAAACGGCAAAGTTTCGTGTTATTTTCTTTTATTATCAGGTTGCGTATTTCACCGCTATCTTCCCGTACGTTATACTTCTGTCCCTGCTGATCAGAGGAGTCACCCTCCCTGGCGCAGTCGACGGAATCATGTTTTATCTTAAACCTGATTTCAACAAGCTCTTGGAACCACAGGTATAAAGCGTTTGTCTACTTACTTAACTGCGGCAGGATTAGCTCAGTTGGTAGCGCGCTTGAAGGCAGAGGGGGAAGTCGCGGGTTCGATCGCCGGGGCCGGACCAACACTCAGGGTCTTAAAATAACTGAGAAATGAAGGTACTCCCTTTGCACTACAAGCGGCTAAGCTAAACCTTCGCGTGGCTCGGATGAACTGGTAAAATGGCGGTCCCGTCTCCAGTTGGAGACGTAAAAATAGTGTCCCTAATTAGTACTTTTGTGCTAAATACATTGACTCTCAAATAAAGTGCATTTTTTTTGCTGACGTAATCGTTTGTTTGCACGTGACATCATGGCGGCCATTTTAATGGTAAAGAGCAAAAGCATTTCTTTCGTTCTGAACTCCTTTATGTAAATTTTTCGAGAAAAAAAAACATTTAGGCCCCGTCCACACGTATCCGGTATTTTTTAAAATGGTGATTTTTTCTCCATTTTTAACAAAGACGCATCTACATGTAGCGTATACTAATCGCTTTTGGTGGCCACCAACATGGCCGCCTTGTCACGTGGTTGCAAAGCATAAATTAGATCACTTGCAAAGCAACACTGTCATGCTACCTTCTTGACGTAAACGGAATTCCTGTTGTATTTTAGGTTTGGATCGATGCTGCATCGCAGATTTTTTTCTCACTCAGCGTTGGTCTCGGAGGTCTGGTTACGTTTGCCAGCTACAACAAATTTAACAACAATTGTGAAAGGTAACAACATACCATCAAATAATCGATCAATGGGTGTCCTTCTACACGATTGTTTATAGTAAAGCTGGGTTTTTCCTCACAGCATTATTAGGGGTGTATCAAGGATTAGGTAAGAAAAGGAGAGTGTATCTAAGGTAAGAACCGGTGTGTACGGATACCAATCGACCCCCTTCCTCACCCACCCCCACCCCCCGGACATCCGCCCCTAGTTCTCAGATCTCTTTCAAGAAATCTCTCATTCATAGCACCATGCAACAGTGACCCCGTCTCCTGCCCATTACAAGAGCTATTGGAGTGATCAACAGAACGGGAACGTCAGTTGAGGACGAAAAAGCGCGCGGAAAGTACTGAACACGTCTTCCGGTGCTTAATTTGTCGCTCTGCCTTTGGTGAAGCCAATTTTTTTATTTTGCACGCACCGTCGTCACTGCTGTCACGTCGTGTCTTTGCTAAATCTACCTATTTCCTAGTTCTAAAGACGTCTCCAAAGCAATGGTGTCTTTAGACATTTCTGTAAACATATGGAAATACGACCTTACAGTAATTAGAGTCTTTGTCCAAGTACGACCTATCTGCAAACTATTGTAGAGTAGCAATAAACCTTGACCATGTTTTATTGCTCACTTTTGGAACTCAGGGAATTATCATTGTTATGATCATTAGGCTGATTTAGCAACAGAACGGGAACGTCAGTTGACGACGGTGCGCGCAAATCAAACAACCGCCTTGGCCAATGGCAGAGCGGCAAATTGGGGACCGGAAGTCGCGTTTAGTCCTTTCCGCGCGCTTCCCTGTCGTCAACTGATGTTCCCGTTCTGTTGCTAAGTCAGCCTATTATCGTAAATTTACCACTGTTTCGTTGCTTCATTATTCTCAGAGACGCTGTTGTTGTATCCTCGATCAACTGCATGACAAGTTTGTTCGGCGGATTTCCTATTTTCAGCGTCATCGGATTTATGGCCCACACACTGAAGAAAGACGTGTCAGAGGTTGTTTCCTCAGGTAAAAAAAAAACAGTCAAGACATAACTGTCTCGGAACACCGGAANTAAATCTACCTATTTCCTAGTTCTAAAGACGTCTCCAAAGCAATGGTGTCTTTAGACATTTCTGTAAACATATGGAAATACGACCTTACAGTAATTAGAGTCTTTGTCCAAGTACGACCTATCTGCAAACTATTGTAGAGTAGCAATAAACCTTGACCATGTTTTATTGCTCACTTTTGGAACTCAGGGAATTATCATTGTTATGATCATTAGGCTGATTTAGCAACAGAACGGGAACGTCAGTTGACGACGGTGCGCGCAAATCAAACAACCGCCTTGGCCAATGGCAGAGCGGCAAATTGGGGACCGGAAGTCGCGTTTAGTCCTTTCCGCGCGCTTCCCTGTCGTCAACTGATGTTCCCGTTCTGTTGCTAAGTGAACCTATTATCGTAAATTTACCACTGTTTCGTTGCTTCATAATTCTCAGAGACGCTGTTGTTGTATCCTCGATCAAATGCATGACAAGTTTGTTCGGCGGATTTCCTATTTTCAGCGTCATCGGATTTATGGCCCACACACTGAAGAAAGACGTGTCAGAGGTTGTTTCCTCAGGTAAAAAAAAAACAGTCAAGACATAACTGTCTCGGAACACCGGAATATACTCCAAATTTGTACGTGATCAAACGTCTTTTTCGTTTGTTGTGCTCTTTTCTGTGTTCGCGAGAGTTCCGTTGTGTTCCTTGTTCCGCGTTTTAGTACTTAATGATAATCTCCAACATCGCGGCAATATGCAAAAAAAAACCCCAATACTCTTTATTTCCAGAATTACGTAATGCTAAATAAGGCGCAGCCTCCAAACGTACTTTCTCTAACAATTTGCGCGTGATTTTGCCAAAACGGTTTTGGTAAAATTACGAACTATTCAAATTACCTTTCTAATTCTGTTTCTGTGATTATGGTGCTGTAAAGGTTGTGATAATTATTGAGATTATGAGCATGATTACTATTTAGCGCCTTTGATATTTCTCATTTGAACCAACCTTAAGCATTACCCGATTCCGACTCTTGCAGGACCGGGAATTGGCTTTGTGGCCTACCCAGAAGGCATTGCCCAGATGCCTGGTGCCTCAGTTTGGGCTGTACTGTTTTTCTTTATGCTGTTTACTATTGGACTCGGAAGTCAGGTGAGTCGACTCGTAATTCTACTGCTTGATGATGTGAGAACTCACAAAGAACAAACTGTATTGTACCCAAGGAAAAAAAGATAGAGGCCCAATTGCCTCCTCTCTATTCAGTACTACCAGTCTGTCCTAATCTGAAATGTCTTACGTCCCCAGCCCCTAACCCGTGGGGCGCGCGGGGGAGAGAGACCGCAGCCCCCACGGGTTAGGGAATGGAGACGTATGACATTTCAGACTAAGTCTGTCCCTCCCTTCATATGATTTTATTACCCGCTCATAGCGATCATCTTTCGTCGTTTATCTTTCCCCCTCCCTCCTTTGCCATCTATTAACCGTTTCTCTCTTCTTTCCACTCGAACTTTCGCCTCTATGCTATCCTCTCTAATCTTTCTTCCCCCTTCCCTTTCCTCTCCCTCGGGTAATCGGCTCCCGTAGGCCTCCCTCTATTCTCTTCCCTCCCCATTTCCATTCTCTTTTATTCCCTCTCCTCTTGTCTCTGCACTAATTCGTGCTCTTGCTCTTTTGACGACGTACAGTTTGTGTTCACGGCCACAATTATGGCAGCATTAATGGACAGTTTCAGCAAACTGCGGGCATACAAGGGATTAGTTCTCCTGGTCGTGTGCCTCGTATCCTACCTTATTGGACTCTCCTGTGTTACTCAGGTAACGTTACTTTGCGAGGATAGCAACCCCACTGCTGCGAATTTTACATAGAGATTAATTGAAGTAGGGCGCTATGAACGAAGGGTTCCTTTGTAGAGCCCTTTTTGAAGCTAGGGGAGAGGATCGTTGATAGTTTTTGTTCTATTGTTTGCTTGTGTTATTGCTTCTTAAATTGTGTCGTCCTTCAGAGGGATAATTTGTCTTACCAAGACTGGGTCACAAAGCAGTGATACTAAATGCTTTCCTCATAATTACCATGTAGAAATTCTGCAAATGTGTAGTATAAGCCAGTTGTGTCTAGTATTTCGTTATGTTATCTCATCTAGCCAGGGACCATTGAGGACCATTTGAAAAGGCAAAACACGGGATGATACAGCAAAAGAAACATGTACATCAGCAAGCGAAGCGTGCTGTCGGGTGGACTGGAGAGGGAGAAAAGGCCCAGACTCCCGATCGGCTTGTTTCGTTTACCGATTTTTATACGCCTTTTCCCCCACAGCGGAGCCAGAGTCCTAGGCTATATCTGATCCGATCACAGTGTTTTTGTTATTTTCTATTTAGGGTGGAATCTATGTGTTGAATATCTTTGACAGCCAGAGCGCTGGTTTATCGTTGATTTTTGTGGTCATTTTTGAGGCATTAGCCATCAGCTGGGGATACGGTAGGTACCATTTCACCGTCAATTCGCCACTTTAGAAACAAGAGGGAAACTGGGCCGAGTTAACTTTCGCAAAGACTTCTGGGACTGTTACTGGTGACAGGTAAAAACATTGGCCAATAGCAGCGCGTCCCCAGTGATGATCCCAAAAACAATTTGCCGGACACATTTCGGCTCCAGTTCCTTTCGTGTTTCTTAAGTGGCCAATCGTAGTGCCTCAAAGATAGTATCACGTGATCCTGAATTCTGCTCTTGTTTTTCGATAGGGGCTGATAAGTTCTGTGATAACATCTATTCCATGATTGGGAAGAAGCCAAACTTGTATTTTCGATTTTGCTGGAAATATGTGACACCTGCTGTTGGAACGGTAAGGAAAAAATATCGGATAAGGAAAGACATCTTACCTTTTCTGAGTCCTAGTCTCCTCTCACATTAATGCCGCGAATCACTGAGGAGCACATGCGCGAATATTGACTCTTCCCCAGTCAAGCCTCGGGCAAATTTAATGAGAACAGACGCGCCATCACGAAAATTTCATCTTTTTCAATCTGAAAAAGTCGGGATTGGGAACGAATTTACTACAGTTAAGCTTTGATGTGTCTGGTATCTTTTATTCGTGACGTATTGAGTAAAACCAGTACGTTTCAGAGAAGGGCTGAATATTTTCTCCATCTTTTTTGCATCACAGCTTATTTTATTGGGAAGTATTACTCAATGGAAAAGACTCAGTTATGATGGGTATGTCTACCCTGATTGGGCCCAGGCCGTCGCATGGCTGTTGGCTCTGTGTTCGTTTGTTGCGATTCCCGTTCGAGCGATATCGGAGATAGTTCATCATAAGGGCTCTTTCAGAGAGGTAAGGTCAAAGCTTTTTTTGTACTATTTGTTTCAATATATTCTACATTCAAAATATTTCTCCGTTTCTAAGTGGCTCAAATCCCAAGATAAAATTTGGACATGCAAATGTTAAGAAGTTCGGTCATTCCCGAAATAAGTTTAAGCACTCCAAGCCGAGTTGTAGGCGCATCATTTCAATGCGAGCGTGCTTCTGGTCTTGTTTAGGACTTTGCTTATCTTATCTTTCTTGTTCTATTCTGCAGCGGTTAATGAGAGCCGTACGCGCGGATGTAAGTGTTCTCAATGCAGTTGCGAATCGTCACAATTTGAGACCGCAAAGGTAAGATATTAGGCAGAGAGCAGACAACCCAACGTCAAATAATTACAACTCGAAGGCGCGAAAAGGACTAAACACGACTTCCGGTGCACAATTTTTCGCTAAATCAGTAGCTAAGCAGTTTTTCAGATCCTTCGAGTCGCATACGCCACTTCTACATTTCCCATAATGCACCTTCACTCGAACAGTCATAACAACAAACAAGTCCGTTCTTTACTGCAACCTGCGAGCGGGCGTTTTCTTTTTCCGGTGGAGCGCTAAAGCCTTCGAGGGGCAAAGGAGAAATCGCCATCCAAAGAAAAAGGGAAAAAGAACCACCTGATCGCATGTCAACGTAAATGTTACAAGCTACACACGACGTTTTACCAGAGATCACAAAATCCGAACACGATTAACCTTAAATCGAGTTTCGTATTATCAAAATTAAATGCCATTTTTATGCTCTTTTTTCAGTAAATGTGCAGAAACAAGGGTTGAAATACATGCCGTAGCATGGAAGGAAAATCCTCCCGAGTCAGTTGTGTAGAAGGCCTTCTAGTGGATCAGTTATTCTCTGATTTTAGTTGATGAGATTGTTTTATATTTTGATGATATTATATTTGCCCCAGGGGTCATTCTTTCTACTTCTGATTTCAATAGATACTGCATTTTTCTTTAATCAAAGAGATTTCATGCATTACAGAGAGCTGGATTTGAGTTCTGTCAATTTGCTTTATGGCTTTTCAACATTTCAAAAAACGCACGAGAATACTCAATGCTGTTACCTTTTGTATATTTATTTTTTACAACAAGAGTGCATTTTTTATGCAAAAAAATGACTACATTTTCTGTCAGTGAGCAATGTATGAATTTTCGTTGTCGATTTATTTTTTAACATGAGGAAATAAATAGTCGTTAAAAGTCTCCCATGGTTCTTGTCATTACCAGTCGCTTGCTTATTGCTCATCGTAAGGCGCTTTTAGTTGTCCGTCTTCAACCATCATCAGTATCCTCAAATTTCAATAGAGGAGGAAGAGACAAAGGGAGGCAAGACTGCATAACTTTGAACCCAGACTTTCTCTTCAAACTCTTCCGACAACGTCCTTTACCAGCTCAGTTCCAGGTCTTTCTCCTCTCAGTAGCGAAGAGGCACAGTGTCCGCGTAAGTTACTAGGGACGGGTTGAGTCTCCGCTCAGCGACATCGTAACGAATTCGCGAAGAGCAACAAACAAACACCTGCGTATTTAGCCTGCTTAGCAAGCGCTTGAGAGAGAGAACTCGGGCACGCGAGCCCCGTTCGTCCGTGCGCCCATTACTTTCACGTGCCTGCTGTGCTACGCAGTCTACTGCGTTTTAAGCTGATTTTCATCTCAGGTATTAAGGTCAAAGATGGTCTTCTTCACGTGGTGCACTTTCAGTTTCCTCGCTGATGGCTGTTATCCCATCGCCTTTCGTTCTCTCCTGCTTGATAAGCAGTTTTAACAGTCGCTTCTTATCTGCATTAATACGAAGTTCTAAATCCTCAATTTCCTTCCTGATATCCTCATTACTCTGGTCAGTTGACTCGTTCGACTCTGAAGCTGAATTTGCTTTTGATTCAATTGCCTTGTGTGACGGAGAACGTGAATCTCGTGAAGTGTCTGTAAGATTTCGTGATGAAGACAGTGACGATCGATGTCGTGATCGTGATCGAGAGTCTCTCTTTGGAGAACGCGATCTAGAGTCGCGTGAAAATGAGGAAGATTCGTGCCGTACCGGCAGCGGCGATATAGATCGTAAATGTGGATCCCTGTCACTTTTTCTCCAGGTTCTAGATTTCGCTCCTCGAGAGACCAGAGCTGTCTTCCCTTTTGATCGAGACTGTGATCGACTCGAAGAACGAGAGTGCGACCTCCGTTTTTCTCGTTTATATTTTTTCTTTATAAAGCCTGAAGAGCTGGATTGTTCATGCAATGAATC